ATTAAGTTTTTCATGTTGAAATATTATCGAAAAAGTATATGTAAAAGTATATGTAATACTTGTAATATTGTATCAATAGTTTCAAAAAATAATGTAACAGTAACAAGTCTGCCGACTCTATAAAAAGGAGATTTGCGATTTGTCTCGACGCAAGAAGTCGATGTACACTTTTTGCCGTCGGGAAACTTTTTTTGAGCAACTCATCTTTTGAGTGATACACTGAAGCTTCTAACGAGTAACAGTTTCTGTTGTGTCTCCCTGCCTTCTTCTTACAGTTGTGTTTCCTGTTCTTATTTCTTTTTTCGAAGACTGACCGGCGGGCAAAGTTTAGAGTAATGTCAAAGGAAAAATGAAGAATTAGCTCTATCTTTTAATATTAAAAATAAATTCATAGATCTTCACACTTGTTGCTATTGAAATGAGAAACTATTGAAATGAGAAACTATCTTGAAAAATTCGAAAAGTACTCAAAACTACTAGTAACGTCATTTATCATTTATTATTTATTATTTATCATTCATCATTTCTAGTAACACAAAATCATTCGCCGTCACTTACAAAAATAAAAGCAATTTACTGACGAGTATACAATACGTAAAGATTCATAATTTTTTGCGTTGTTCAATCTTAAGAGCTAACCCGATGTCATGTTGTTGCGCAAGACAAGCGAGAAAAATGAAAAAAACAAGGGACACGTGCGACGAAGCATAAAGCGCGTCTTAGATGGATGCATATCAAGAGTCAGTCGACGATTAGAGGCAATCAGAAAAAAAACATGACGGATTTTGCGACGCGTCGTGTGCGATTGTGTTACATTACATAAAATAAAGTCAAAGCCATTTTATCTCTAATATATAGGGTCCAGCCAAATAATATGTGTAATAATATGTAAATGGATATGACGTAATTCTTTCTAAAAAAACTAACTATAAAAAAACCAATAGAAGAAAGGTTTTTTTGTCTGTGACTTAATTTTCGAGAACACCAAGTTTGAAAATCAAGGTATCCAAGTTAAATCAAGTTAGAATTATAATTTTATAATAGAAGTATAATTTTTATTGATAATAATTTACAACAGTATTGAGTACTTATTATGTTAGACTTACGCATATGTCCAGTAAACACAGTTTAGTTCACTATTTGAGATGCAGCTGCGCCAAGTTTTTTGCATTACATATTTTTTAATTTTTATTTTTTGTTTTTATTTTTTTTTTTGGAAAACAAGCAGTAATACAATAAAAATTAGATAGAAAATAGACCTTCCTGACTTTGGACTGCAGATGGTGGCAGTATAATAAATAAACTTAGTGTGGAATGAAGTGATTTATTGTGGAACGTTTCGACCGTCGATTACGGTCATCCTCAACCACGCTGAATAAAATAACAAAGTTAAAGAAAATTACAGAATCAAGATTACAAAATATTATACAGTAGATCAAGTCGCATACACACCTTTACAAATAAGTTAATATACGTCACTGAACGTCGAAAACAAGAGAGACATCAAGACAGCAAAACAAATTGTTGATAGTCAATTTGTCCTTGCATCGTATCTTTAATAAAATAATACATCGAGAACATTAGACAAATAGAGAATAAAAGATAATTAAAAGAGATCAAATTGAGTTCAACAAACATTTTAGTCAAAAAAGTCAAAAGTATTAGTCAAAAAATAAATAAAATACAATAAAATGGAATAATAATCGAATAAATTTAAGGTCAAAAGGTAAAATAAATAACAATCAGTAAAAGATTCGTAGTAATTAAGCAAGTGAGTCAATGATAATAAAATTGAAATACTCACTATCAAATTGATAAATTAAATAATTGTCGTTGAAATCTCTCGTACATCCGACACACAGTAACGACACAAATATCTCGGCGCAAACATCTCGTGTAAAGAACAAAATACAAATGCGAGAAAAACAAGATAGAAAAGCCGAGATAATAATAGATAAGCATGAGAAGGAAGAGAGAGCGCAGACGCAAAATCAACTGCTCAATTTCGAAATTAAAGAAGAATAAATCGGGTCGAGCAATTCAGTATCTTTTATTAAATTTATGCTATGTTTCTGCAACTTTATGTGCAGCATCTCAGATATAAGTCTCTTATGGTAATACTGTTCTTTGTCAAGTATCTGAGCTTTACTTCAATCGAAATCATGTCCAAGATCAGTCCGATGCCTGCTGACCACCGATTGTCGTTTGTAGTTCTGGCGGAAGTTACGTTGATGCTCAGTAAGTCTAGTACGTAGCTGTCTACTCGTTTGGCCAACATAAGATGCATCGCATGAAGAGCAGTTGATTTTGTAGATAATGTTACTGTTCAATTTACGGTCGAGTGAATCTTTATGAACCTTGATGTATTTACTTAAAGTATTGAAATTTCTGTGAGAAACACGGAAATTCATTGTATTCAGAGTTCTAGAAATAATATCAGTAACACTAGGCAAAAATGGCACAGTGAAAAAACTCTCTCCACCACTCAAGAGATTCACACTCGATGTAGGCTCGTCACTTGACAAGTTTAATTTGTTTTTAAATAGGAAATGAAGTTTCTTTTGGACTACCTTAAAAAACAGATCTAGGGGATAATCATTGGCAAGGATTAAATGCATAGCTTTAATNAAATTATTTTTATGGAAGTCAGGATGAGAAAGCAATATGGCTCTGTCAATAATACTGTACATAACTCCAAGTTTTTGATTAAAAGGGTGTTGAGAATTAAAATTGAGATAACGGCCCGAGAAAGTAGGTGTATGATACCAGTCAAGTAATAAAATGTCGTCTACAATCGAAATATCAAGAAAATTGATTTTTCTATCTTTCTCCAACTCAATAGTGAACCTGAGTCTAGGATGGTAGGAATTGAATTTTTGAAAAATAAGATCAACTTTATCTCTGGGAGCTGCCATAAGAACATCGTCTACATAACGATAATAAAATGGAAGCTCCAAATTCAAACTATTGAAGCAACTCTCCTCAAGGTCTTGTAGAACAAGATCTGCTATGATTGGAGAAAGAGGAGAACCCATGGGGGTTCCAAAAGTCTGTTGGTAAATGGTATCATTAAACGTAAAATAGGTCGAAGAAAGCACGAGCTCAAGGCCTTTGATAAAAGATTCCAAAGGAATGCTGGTGTGTTCATTAATAAAATTCCATCTTTTTCTCACCGCTTCAAAAGCCAAATCAAGTGGAATGTTAGTAAATAACGAGACTACATCGAGCGAGAACAATACATCACATCCACCAATACGAGAACATGACAGACCTTCGAATAAATCAAAGCTGTTAAGTACAAAGCTACGAGGTTTTGGTAGATTCTTAAGCAAAATGCCATGCAAAAAAGAGGCAAAATTAAACAGAGTGGTGTTTGTATAAGAAACTATTATTTTATATGGAGTGTTAGGCTTATGTATTTTCGGAAGTCCGTAAGCCCGCGAGAGTGGCTTGTCGTTACAAATTAAAAAATAGTACTGATTAGCGTTAATATAATTTGCATTCTTCCAGGCTTTGAGACACTCATTTAAATTATTTTCAACACGTTTAGACGGGTTCTTAATATTAGACTTGATATAAGTATCATTGTCACTCAAAATGAGTTCCATTCCAGTGACATAATCAACTCTGTTAACAGCCACAGTAACATTGCCCTTATCGGCTGTAGTGAATAAAATGTTCGGGTGGTCTTTGATAAAATTATTAGTGACCCTTGCACTATCAATGATATTTCTCTCGTGGTTATTTAAGCGAGGATGTTCATGTAGAAAATGTTCAAGTGACGAAGAAAACAAAGAGCGTACTCTTGATTTCGACGTCGGATCTAACAGTCTGATGTTGTTCTCAACGTCTTTTATGGTCTCTAAAACCGAACGACTCTTTTGACACTGAGAGGGCAAAGCAAACTTCTCGCCCAAGGAGAGGAGATTACGGACGGTGTCAGGGATGTCAACAGAAGTGAGAATAATAAACCACTTTTCCTTTTGTTTGTATAATTCATCAAAGTTCAGATTATTAAGAACAATCGTGATCTTATTAACGCGTGACTTGTCAACGAGATTAGGTTTATTAAAAGAAAAGCAATATTGAGAGCGGCCGTCAACAGCAATGTCACCGTTAGATGGGCGAGTCACAAAATATGAGACGCTAATTAAGGAATTACGGTTATCAATTGAAACTCTTTTTAACAACCAAGAGACTTTTTTATCCATTTTTAAATATTCACAATGTTTTAATTTACAAAAGGAAGTTTTCTGAGTGTCAAAAAACCTGTTCCAAATATAAGTTGGTAAGTTCGCAGAAAGATAATAAGACACACAAAGAAGTCTGCGGTGAAGTAATTTTGCGTCTGCGCTTTCTCTTCCTTCTCATGCTTATCTATTATTATCTCGGCCTCTCTATCTTGTTTTTCTCGCATTTGTATTTTGTTCTTTACACGAGATGTTTGTGCCGAGATATTTGTGTCGTTACTGTGTGTCGGATGTACGAGAGATTTCAACGACAATTATTTAATTTATCAATTTGATAGTGAGTATTTCAATTTTATTATNATTGACTCANTTGCTTAATTACTACNAATCTTTTACTGATTGTTATTTATTTTACCTTTTGACCTTAAATTTATTCGATTATTATTCCATTTTATTGTATTTTATTTATTTTTTGACTAATACTTTTGACTTTTTTGACTAAAATGTTTGTTGAACTCAATTTAATCTCTTTTAATTATCTTTTATTCTCTATTTGTCTAATGTTCTCGATGTATTATTTTATTAAAGATACGATGCAAGGACAAATTGACTATCAACAATTTGTTTTGCTGTCTTGATGTCTTTCTTGTTTTCGACGTTCAGTGACGTATATTAACTTATTTGTAAAGGTGTGAATGCGACTTGATCTACTGTATAATATTTTGTAATCTTGATTCTGTAATTTTCTTTAACTTTGTTATTTTATTCAGCGTGGCTGAGGATGACCGTAATCGACGGTCGAAACGTTCCACAATAAATCACTTGATTCCACACTAAGTTTATTTATTATTTTGCCACCATCTGCAGTCCAAAGGCAAGAATGTCTATTTTCTATCTATTTATTTTTTTATATAACAATTAATTTATTAATTTAACAAATAAAAGTTTACTTGGTGCTACCTTTTGATATCACTTCTTTTGTAAAACTGGTTTTTTATAAAGAAGAATTTTTTGTAGTATATAAACTAGAAAGTAGTATATACAATACGTGTTGCGCGTGTACTTAGCGCCTTTTTTTACCTTTTTTTGAAAAGGTAAAAAAGGTAAGTTTTTCGAGATATCACACAGTTTGTAGTATGTACGTTGTAGTGATAGTGATATGTATGATCTTGAAATTTATCTTCTTTTCATTATATCTTTTTTTTATTTCTCAACAATAGTAAAAAATTTATTTCTTTTTCTCTAAGAAAAGTATATAAACATTTTTAGCACCTTTAGGTCAGTGGTGTTTTCTAATGCGCATATCATCAATTCTAAACCTGCTAGTTTTTCCTTTCTATACATACTTGTATAATGATTGTTTTCAATACACAGTTTGTTATTAAATATAACATTCATTACTTTATATAGCCACCTACTGACACTTTAGTCGTTGGTACAGTCCGTAAATTAAATTTGTTTGTATTGCTTTATCATCATCTGGTAAAAATAGAAAATGAATGGATAAGTATTTTTTTGTCACTATTAATTCTCTTTTACCTATCATATTTCCTTTACAAGGTTTATATAAATCTTTATATGATTCACACCAACGAGAAAAGGTAACATTTAATAAATCAGTAAGATCATAAATCTTTTTCTCTGAATTAATAACAGGAATTGAGATCAAAATATTATTTGATATAGCTGTATTTGTATACTT